GGAAGTCTGAAATAATTAAATTTATATATGATTATAAAATATTAATATAAGAGAAGCACAATTAATTAATTAATAGCTATGACAACCAATAACACTTAGTATAATTTCCAGAGGTAAATATGAGAATTGGACATTCTGATTGGTCGAAGAGCTCATCATATGACGCTATATTTACCCTGCTACCAAGCTCGCCATCTTTGCCATCTCGGCAAGTAAACTTGGCAGACAGTTGCTGAATGAAGTTTTCATTTATTCGAAAGACATCACTCCATGTCCAGGATATTTGAAAGGATGGAGAATTTTCAAAATGACTGCTGTCGCCCTTGGACCAAAAATCTTTTCAAGAACTCGTATTTAACGCTTTTAAGAATCGTAAACGCAGTGGTTGCGTCGATCGCCAGCATACTTTTTTGAAATTCCTTGTATGACCTTGTACGTATACACGCGGGCAATCCTAGGGTGCCTCCTTGGGTTTTGGCCTCTGGGCCAAAACCCTGCGGGGGCAATAAGAACCTTCCCAACATCCTTTACACCTGAAAATTAAAATGTCAGATAACTTGTCAATTTGAAGTCTGGAAGGGTGCTACACTTACACAAGTCGCGAAGCGACGAGGGCAATTTGCAAAACTTTGAAAATACAAGTGATTAATCCTTAATTGCCCGGGGGGCACTTGTGATTACTTGTTTATCACATAAAGGGCAAAATTCTGTACAAAGGAAAACTTTCAAGTTTTTGCATTGGTTTAAGAGCATGTCCACCAGAGGACCAGGCAGAGGTGATATATGCCATCTCACCGATTTCAGTGAAACTTCGCCCGATTGAAGGGCGTACCCAGTAACTCAAAAATCCAAAACGGTTTCACAATTGCAATTCTCCGGGGGGAGTTACACCACCCCCCTTCGTTTTTTTCATAAATTTCTTTAAATACTACACTAAGTAAGGGTAAAAGTATGGGGCTCTTAAACCTGAGCATTTCATTCAATTCAGTTGCGGCTGCACATGAGTGTAGATACGTCCTTCGTGAGTTATATACGGGAGTTTCACGTAATTTGATTGATGACCTGTCAATCAATG